TTTTTTTCAAAGTATTAGTAGAAGTCAAATTTTCAACCAATTAATCCTAAACACTAAAATTTGGAAATGAGCCAATAGATTCGAAACCCGTTAAAAACTAGTAGTTAGTTTGGAGAATCTTCACCTTTTATTTTTTATTTTTCCTTAACTCGCTTCACTATGTTTTGTTTATTTTAGATAGATATACATGGTCCCAAAATGAAAAATAATAATAATTATTGTTATTGTTAGAGGGACCCAAGACCCTCGGCCCTACGGCAGGCCGAACAGACGTGGTGCATCCACGTCCATTGATTTGCTTTCTATGTTTTATGGTAAAAGATGTGAGGTTCCTGTACTTAGTAATTTATATTTATTTTAGTCCTCACACATTTTTTAGTTTTTTCTTCAAGGCTTTGTATAGGTGTTAGGTTACAATTTTTTAGAATCAATGGTTAGGGTGTTAATTAGGTATTGGATTTTTTTAGGGTTCAATATTTACAATTTTAGAATTTAGATTTTTATTTTTACGGTATTAGGGTTAAACAATTATGATAATGTTAGAGTTTAGAATTTTAAGTTTTACAATTTAGGATGTGAGTTTATAGTATTAGGGTTTAGGATTAAACAATTTAATTATTTATAAATAAATAATTATAAGATTAAAAATTAATATTTCAAAACTATTCCATTTACAAAGAAAAAAAAATAAACTACACGGATTGGTCCCAGTAGTTTGTGATACATGTAGCATTTCATATATGTATATATATATATATAGGTCGATCACTAATGCTGAGATTATAATCACTAATAATTTTAGTAAGGTTATTAATTTTATTTGTAATTTTATCAGATTATAATTTTTTTGAATAATTGATTATAATAGTTAAAAACATCTATTTGTAAATTAATTTCAATTTGTTAAATATTTAATAAATATTTATTATTTTATTAGCTATTAATTGATTTTAACAGTTAAATTAAAATAAAATTTGGACAAATTTAATAATTTTAACAAAATTAATATTAGGCATAACCATAGCCATCAATTACCAATTGATTATTTACTATTTAACATATTTGGCCCCAATAAAATCATGAAATATCTCGAAAATCCGTCAATTTCTCTCATTTATGATTTATATGTCCACCGCCTCCGATAGCTTCAAAGCATCAATTAAGGGAGATTACTAATACTTATTGGTGTAAGATGTCAACCATATTATTTTCCTCTGGTAGGCGGCCATTATCATGGCCTTGGAACCCACATACATGCTTACCTTCAAGCATAAGTTGAAAACTCAAAATGTTAAGTAATTAATTACCATATATATATAGTTAGTGTTGGTCGCCGGCCGGTACCAACCTGGGACCTCACAGGGACGGAAATAATTTTTATCCACAGCATATTGTGGGGATGAGGATCTTTAGTTGCTGTCACTATCACTCTTCTTTTAGCACCCATTCTATAATTTGTTTTGCCACGTCTCCCACTCCTCAAATGGATGCAATGGATGCACATGAATCCGACCTTAACCGAGTCCTTGCTAGCAGTCCTCTTCCAGGATTCAGGGAATCCCCCTCCTGAAGAGCTCTAATCCCCAATAAAAATAAGTGAACAGGAAAACTGATTAAGAACAACCCAATTTCTCTGTTATTCTTCTCAGTTTGTTTTTGTTTAACAGTCAATGAGCCTTAATTTGAGTTAGCTTGTATATACATTGAAACTAATTTATTTTTAATTTAGTTAAAGATAAGTTATTCATATTAAAATTAAAGAATTTATTAATAATTACATTTTTTTATTAACCTTTTTAAAAAAATTAAATATTGATTAACAAAATAATGAGTAAACCTTCTTCTTAACCAAGTGCTTGGTTATTATTCTTCCCAATGAAAACATGGAACATTTTTTTTTCTTAGCAAGTACAATTTGGCGCGTATGGGGATAGATAATTTTAACATGATAGTATCATGGCTCAAATTTTGATTATCGTTAAAAGTATACTTAACAATTGATTCATGAGATCTGATACCATTTGAATAAGTATAATATAGGGTAAGGATACAAAGAATTTTAGCATAGCAATACCTTAATCATTGGCAAGGCGGGTGCACCTACCAACTCGTCCATGAGGCGCAGTGCCAATGAAAAAATGGAAATGGACCTTTAAACGTGGGTCTTCTGAATGATTATACGACATGTTAAATGAGAATAAATAAGGGCCAATAGTTTCACTGATAATCAGGTCCAATGCAAAATTTTCAAGA